TTCAGTTGTGTATTATTTGCGAGCTCTTACAATGGTTGTACTCTCCCAGTCAATAACAAACATGAAATTTCAGATGGTAATAGTGCTGAGTGTTCAACTGATCGTGTCTCTGTTTTATCACGCTTACTTCTACACAGTTCAGCTATTTCTCCTGATCTTCCAGCCTATACTCTCTCTAATGGAGTTCACTATATACCTCCTTCACGCTACTTTTAGTGTACTTATACCCGGCGGCCTCGTCACTATACTGATAGGTTAGTGGGCTTACAGTAAAACTTGATGTTTTCTATTATTATTAATCTTTTTTTCTTTTTTTTCCCTTTTTTTGTTGTTGGTAATCGTTGTATGACTTATTTACCAGTATCACGCAAGCATAACATAATTATTATTAATCTTATCTTCGTCATGAGTCAATCTTTCTTTTGACTATGTATTTGACAGTCAACAGATTAGGTTGTGGCGTGATGGTCCGCCAGTGTATTTCAATGCTAGACGTCACATTTCTGTCATACTATGTATTGTTGATGTGTTGTTACTTAGTAGGCTGGTTGTTAAGATGAGCTCTAATAAACCCAAGTCAGAGTCAGATCTATCTGAATTACAGGCCTCACTACGCTGCCTGACCCACTTGATCTGTCTTACTAACCTCCTTCTTGCAGGTCTCATCACATTCTGGAAGTGGTACAACCCCACTCAACCCCACCCCAGCCCCACCTCCCCTCCTCCGCAGACTATCCAGTTCACCCCACCTGCCCCTCCCACCGAACCTCAGACACCAGAAGAAGAGCTCCAGGAGCAACTAAACACTGAAAGAGAAGAGAAACTGTGCGTGATATGTACTGTGAACATGAAGTGTGCAGTGCTGCTGCCGTGTAGGCACTGTTGCTTGTGTCTGGAGTGCAGTGAAAAGGTAAGGAATGTGGAACAACCCCAGTGCCCGCTCTGTAGGAGGAACATTGCTAATGTCATGCAGATTTACTTGTGATACTGGTTACTGGTTAGTTATACTGGTTACTGGTTAGTTAGAGACTGGTTAGTTAGAGTAATAGTTCACAGTGCGGACCGGTTTCCGGAGAACAGATACAACTTACAGATGGCCTCTGTAGAGGTAGGATAGAGGATATGTCCTGATATATTCCCAGCTGAGCTCATTATTGAGAAGAGTGTCAGGGGGATTGTACCGCGAGCGTAGAATATAATATCTGAGTGATCATGATTTTGGAATGGGTTTACATTTTTAACGTAGCTAGAATTAGTGAGTGACAGTTCAGTTTATGATGAAATGGTGAAAAGTAGCAGAATAACACTATGGAGTATGAAATGTAAAGTAAAGTTTAAAGCTGATGTTCGTTAAGACAGAGTTTTTGTAAAATATGGAATAAAATAAAAAACTGTATTTCTGTCGAAGAATGTTATTTAAGGATGCTTTGCAGAGATGTTTGTCGACAATGGCCTGACAGAAGTCCTTTTTTTATGTGTTGTTCGAGCCCAAAAGAAATCCAATTTTTAGGGCTCTTGCAATTTTAGCTGAGTCCTGAAGCAAAGTCCCGTATTTAACCTTTTTCAAATGCATGCGTTTTTCAGATTTTAAAGATATTTCGTAAATTTGTATTTTATGACTAAACAAAATTGATGACGTTTATTATGCTTTATATATCAACGAATATTTGATTGCTGGATATGGTGTATTGTAATTTAAATTTATCGCATATGAAACGAACTATTTTGACCGATGGCCAATAAATTACATTTAGGCGAAGACTTTTGGAGTTTTTTCATGTACGTCCTTTTTTGCGTACATTTAGAAATTTAATGACATTCATTTGAATTCAAACTCGTCTTTGCTGGGAGCCCACAACCCATATTTCTGGGAGCCCACGACCCATGTATAACTTCAGAAGTTTTGTGGAATGTATTTCAGCATGTTAAATATAATATCGATGTTTGGTAGAACGTTTAAATATTTTGAAAGAAATCTCTATTGTATCGCAAAGTATATATACGGAGAAGTTACGCAAGAAATTTAAATTTTTGAGTATATTATTATTAAGCAAATTTGTCCGATTTGATAATTTCCGAATGAACATGACAACTTGTGAGCAAATTAGTAATTGTATGTTTTTTATTTTCAAAGAATATTATCATTAGCAATTTGATGTAATCTTATGAATAAAATAATTAATGCAACATAATTTTATTAGTTTAGTTTGTTATTTGTTCAGCTCTACTGTAGTTAATAATTGAAGTTTAAAGATTAATTTCCACCTCACTAGCAAGTAGCTTTCTATACAAGAAGAATAAGTAATAACACGAAGAAAACGTTCAGTTCCACGTAAATCTATTCAATTAACTAATTACATTGTATAATTTGACATTATATTCAGATCCGGCCTGCCATGCCGTGCCTAGCTTGCATATCATGCGCGCGTATTACAAAATCACCGCGCGCTAACAAAAATTTCGTGTGCGCGTTCCATAATCTACCAATTACCCACGGTATATACCAGATCAACGTCAGCATTAGTAACGGAAGATGCGACGGCTTATTGTACGCTAGTTATTGTGCAACTAATCGCTAATTCTTGAGGCGGAAACTCGGGACCTTAATTGAAAATTTCAAAGCAAATCTCCAGCCATCTCTGTGGTGTACTAGAGATGTGTATACATCTAGTATGTGTATTATACATGTACATTGACCGTGACCAATGCTTTAAACCCAAACCCCTGAAATGCTTATCTGCCAGTGTACGTGAGAAATGGGAATCAATACAATCTGATGATGTACAGTATTAACGTAGTATTTGTTTCCGATCAGTGATGTTACATTCTAAACTACATTATAAAAACTACGTGTTTACAGAGAGATTGTCATCATGTTAAATGAGGACAATAAAACCTTACACTGTAGAGTTACAAGCCGCATCGTTTACGTTTACAAGCGCCATTATTTACACCATTGTTTACACTATACAGTCCACGTGGCGAAATGAGAACACAAACAGTTGCTGCTGCAGGACACAGCTGGACAATACGTGTCAAACCAGCGCAGAATCTGAACCGGTTTTATATTTCACTGAACCACCGGGGTTATGTGTGAAAGAAAGGAGACTCTTTATTGGAACATCGGCCCCTAAATTAACAGGACCAGCTGGTGAACAATAAAACGTGGGAGTCTGGATATTTTAAACATCATTTAGATACATAATAGTTACTTTATTAAAACAATATGTTCGTTTAAGGATGGCTTTTAGACCGCGAGTAGAACCTTATTACTGAGAACCGAAAACTATTATTATCAGCAACGTGATTTCTCTTGCACAGTATTATTCTAATAAAATATAGAATATCAAGCAGAATATCGTTCATCCCAGAATGGAATAATCTACAACAGTAACCAGCGGTTTACACTACACCTTCATTACTAACCTAATTAAAGTTAATAGATTATTACATATTTAATTACAGTTGGAGATGAGTAATGTACACATTCATTTAAATTTCATTACTGTGAACCTAGTACTATACTAGAAGTAAAACAAGATATGAAATTTGATTGGAACGTTAAAAGTTTAAACTGTTGTGATCGACCAGTAAGAAAAGCTAAGAAAAATAAATCAATAAATTATAAGATACGTGCTCATATTACCCTCATTATACTAATCACATTACGCAATCTGTGCACTGTTAAAATCATGTACACTGAGTTGCACAACATCCAGTACTGCAGCTGGTGCACAGTGTGCATAGTATGCCACACCGTTTCATACTTTATTACACGATTTAACTATTAGTAGTTTACCTATAAAGCTATAACATGTAATGCATGTGTGTATTATATTTTATAATGGTGTGTATAAGGGCTGATTATTACGTGTTACCGGCTATTAGGCTATTGTGTATTATGTGATTAGACACGGCACTTAGTAAAGTTTATAATTTGAAGATCTCGGGCAATGTCTCCTTATTTGGGTATCACGTGACATAGCAAGATCTTTTGTCTATATTTGGTCTAACAAGCTGCTAATCACAGGAAAGATTTGTGTGTAGAATCTTCACTGTACATAGAACAGACTAGAACAGTCTAGAACATACTGGTACTATTGCGACATAACCACAGAAATACAAGGGCACGCCTTTAGAGTCCATTATCCCTTACTTGTAAGTTGTACGTGTAACAATAAGAATCTTATTATTATATTTATTAGTATTATCAACGCTATATGAATAATGAATAATACGACGGCCCAGAACGATTATGGAGTGACATGAAAAATGTCCACGATTCATAAGCCCAAATAAGTCTAAATTGATACAGACGTCAGACACGGTAGAGAACTAATGGTACACAAGTGGTACTGCACTACAAAACGAAAGCTGGGCTCTATCCGAGAAATGTGTAAGAATTCAGTAACATTAAATTCCGATGTAATTTCACATGTATAGCTACATAAATATATGTCAATATATTTTATCAGGCGTAATGGTTATACTGAGCCTGCAATAAAGGAACGAAAGTAATGAGGACTATTAAATTGTACGCAAGTTGTCTGGATTGACGTAAGCAAGCTGCGTGGCAAGCTGTGTCGCAATAATACAGTGCTGGAAGTCACTCAATATTACACAACTATCAGGTAGATCGGAGGGCGTGCTAGAGAGAGCACGTGTTGCTCACTGGATTGTGAAATTTCATCTCATCACTTACGTTTACATCTTTTTAGTTCAAGTAAAATCTGGAATGATGTAAATTCCAGAAATTATATTATATTTAAAAGCTTGGGGAAGTATTTTCGCTATCCAATTTTGGGCTATTTGTGAAAGTAATAAAAATATTAACAAATCTAAAAAAACATATCAGAATTTGTTCGCAAATGTTTCCGCTATTTCATTAATGGCGTAATCGAAATTATCCGGACTAAAAGAAGAATGCCAAATTATAGAGCGAGGTTACTGAGGAACAGGGATTTTTAAATATTACAGTTAAGCCAATAACAACTCAAATATAAACGAGAAAGTATGTTGAAATTTGTAATATCATACAATTGAAAGAATTCTATAACATATTATACTTAATCTGTGTAATACTCTCAACATAATACAGACCATTTACCACGAGGCTACCTCTTTATTAGAATTTATATTCCTTTAACTTTAACTGGGCATTATAAGTTGCTGTTTAAATAATATAGTATTTATCTGAAGAAGTCTGTAGACTGAGGTACATGAAAGTGGGTTGTAGTGATATGTAGATTAGAGATGTAGATTAGATATGTAGATTAGATATGTAGATTAGAGTGCCCTCAACCAGTCAACCTACTACAAATGGTACACATTGTACATGCTAAATGCTAATTACTGTAAAGAATGGTCTGATTCCTCATTCCTGGGTATTGCAACACTTATAACGATTTGATGGATTATGTTACATGATCACTACTTTGTGTACATTGTACATCATGACCATGTAGTAAGATACATGAACGTTAAGAAAGAATTTACAAACAGCACCCACTCTCAGACTGAAGGGCTCTGTACAACAATAAATATAAATTATAAGGGGGGGGGGGGGGGCTGCCTTTTGTTGTACAGTCAAATTAGATCAAAGTGAGACCCCTTGGAACATTTAAATGTATATTCTTTGTGTAGAGTTACCACGAGACTACAAGCCGTGTATTTAGCACCTGGACACTAGACACTAGACAGTTTCTCACTTAGTCGCTAGATGGGGGGAACATTTAAGGGCCGTTAGCAGTTAGGGTACAGCGAGTGAGCTGTTTATCTGACGGATAAGCTAGTTAAAATCATTTCGTTGGAATGTGATCAGGGTGAGTTTTATTCTAAGTGGTTTTATCCGTGAACCTGTACTACTACAGTACAACATGCTGTTGTACATACATAATAATAACGTCTGTTGCTGCGGTATTATACAGTGCTATTAGGTAGGGTGCAGTGATGTGCAATGTTTACAGTAGAGTGTGTAGACACAGTAATTACACAAACATAAACAACACTTTACACATGACTTACCTTATGTGAATTAAATGTAAGTGCATCTATATTTTATAATTGGCCTGATATTATTATAAATACAATCCCAGAAATCGACTTGATTTCCGAGGATCAAATTTATCAGGATGTTTATTTATTTGTTTCTCAGGTCCGGAAGCAACCGTGAGAAAATCTGCACTACATAACATGAGTTAGCTGAGTATGAACTAGGCAATTAGTACTAGTGACTTTGTAGGTTTTCTTCAATTAAAGGTTGAGAAAGTGCTTGGCTAGTTAATGAGGGTAAGGAACAGACTGCTTGAAAACCAGTACAAGTGTTATTCTCTACATTACAATGCGAGAGTAGTGAGCAGTGAGTAGTGAGTAGTAGTGAGTAGTGGTGGTGAGTAGTGATGTTGAGGGCAGGATTCAAAGTTTGAAATTCTGATAATCTACATGACGCTTCATTAAACTTACAGTTGGTTATTTAAATCCATATTCTTATTGTGACAAAATTTAAAACCATCAAAAATCTTAAAAAGCTCCATTCAAATACCTTTAAAATATTAGTCGACAGACCAGTAGCTGCTCATGAAATTAGAATTTAAATTATTTAACCCCCGAAATTGTCCAGCAACAATTAATAGAAATCCCTGCTAATTAGCGATAATCATTACTAATTAGCGATAATTAGCAGTAAGTAATAGCAGGAAATGAGATCCAGATCCTCATCGTCAGGAGTTTTTCTCTCTACCAGTTTTTCTTGTGCTCATCAAAACTGACTCCACCTGGACCGAGTGTGATGACGTAGAGTAGACCGCCAATAACTGATAACGTCTGGAGAAATAGGAGGTTAGTCACTGTTACTGTAGTCATTACTGTAGTCACTTACTGTAGTCACTGTTACTGTAGTCACTTACTGTAGTCACTTACTGTAGTCACTATCTGTTAGTTCATACTGATAACAATAAATTGTTTATTATTTAAGAGCTACTGCCTACTAGACGGAACGTATCCCTTAAACGAAGCATATCATAGCAAATCTTTATATTTTGCAAACATATTAAATAAATAATAAGTACCTGAAAGAAGTCATATTTGACGAAGTCGTGCATAGCTCTACTTTTGTTGTACATCCAGAAGGGGTTGAGATAGAGATTGATGATGAAGAGCCATACAACTAGAACACAGCTAGCTAGCTTCGTTTTGTAGCCAATGCAGACACATATCATCAGAGGAAGTCCAACCTGGAACAACATTGCAATTAGTCCAAACTAAAATAATATAATGACAGCTTTTACCATTGATTTACTGTTGTCGCAAATAAGAATTAATCAGCTTTTAAATTCAAAACCGGTTTTATAATAAAGTTAAGGTCAGATTATCTCGGTATTATGAGGATATAAACCGTTTTCAGTCTTCATCCAGTTTATAAATTCTAACTATAGCTTCATAATGTACCAAGTTGTATTTCTAAAATTCAATGATTCTAGAATGGTTAAAATTGTCAATTTGGGAATATAGAATTAGATAAAAACATAGAAAGATAAAGATAAGCGGAACTTACAATGATCTCCACAGCTCGGACAATCTCAGTGAAGAAGTTATCAAAGCTCATCTCGCCGAGCAAAGTAAGGAACATAAGACAAATAAGCACTCTTCCAGCTAGTTGCATGTAGTTCTGAGGCTTATTCTCTCCTGTGTTGGTAGGAGCGTTAATTTGCTGGTCAATAGAATTAGAACGCAGAATTCTACCATAAATAATTAAATATGGGGTAATGGAGGCGGTTAATTCAGCATATTTTGTATCCTAAGAATTTAGAAAATTCAGATTAAGCTGTTACTAAACGAGATTTATAAGTAAGAAAATAAAATTAGCCTACCCATAGTAGGAACACCAGCGAACATGGTTTTAGCTTCACCCATATCCTCTGCTAGCAGTAACACAAGGCCACCCATTAGTGCTACATTTCTGAAGAATTGTGGATATGTTAGTGAAAATGTACAAATAAGGGTAATAATTAGATGCATGTTCATTTTTCAGTTCATATAATTTCAAATACCACTTTGTCAAAACAATGGGAAATAATCTTACATAAGTTAAATTTAATGATGAGATTTGGGCGAGTAATAGTGCACATTATGGTTTAGAAGTTGAAGTTCAAGAAGTTTAGATGACACGTGATGCCCATATAAGGAGATGGTCATATTACGTTTCATACTGATAACGTTCGTTTAACGATTATATGAGATAATTTATCTACATGTATTGCACTAGATGCATGAATCGTTAATAATAAATCACATTAAGGGCTGCTGCAAAAATGTATAATCCTATCAAGTATGTCCTTGTAAGTATTTTGTATTCAGATAAAGTTATAACCTGAGCAAAAATCGGACGTCGAAGAGAATTCCATAACCAACAGTTTGTGTGAGGACAACACCAAATAGTACTCCTACACATATCTTCACATACTTTCTTGCTAATACCAAACCTGTAAAAAATAACTTCTTAGTAAATAACAACTTCTGGGCCAGAGTAGACAAAAGTTAATTTTAAGGGTTTACTGTTTGTAATTGCATAAGATATTTAATTAATAGTGGTTACATGATAACTATGTTTTGAAAATGATAGCACACATGATGTGACCCTAACCTGATGGTATGATCTGTCCAAGAAGATTGTAAATAACAAAGGAGTTAGCAATAAAGGCGCCACAGTTCCAATGGTGGTTTATGTAGTTGCTTTGCTCCTTCCATTGGTACCACATTCTCACTCCGTCCTGTTCAAAGTGAGGTTAATTCTATAATTTCTGAGAGAAACATTGCAATTTAAACAGTTGTTAAACTCTGTCCTGATGTTTGTTTTCATTTTTTAATACTGATATTCAATAGATTTGATAATACTTACTTCAAGAAATGTTGCAACAAGGCATAATCTTGATAGAAAGGGGAGATAATCTTTGGTTTTTCTCAAAACAACATCAGACTGATCTTCAAGTTTCTTAATGAAGTCGCTCGACATGTTTACTCTACTAGTAAAGTGTATATTATTAGTAGGAGCATTAGGTATACAAATTTTGTTACAAAGTATACCGAAAAGGATATTTGTCACAATAATATCAAGAAACAAAGGATGAGAGCAATGACTTTATAATTTGATATTGTTACAATTCACTATTTCATAACTCGTTCTCATTTCTTTTATATTAATATCAATTTGTTGAACCATGATGGTAAAATGTATCCAGAAAAGCCAAGTTTCATCCATTATTATATAACTAGAAACCCTGTGGTCCCAAGGAGGAAACTGATATTATTCTTTGAAAGCCTTCACACCTGAAGATATAGCCAATTTAAATGTAACTTGATTAAAACATCGCTCCAAAATCCTTGCACATGATTATGTATGAATTTTCACCCTCGTTACTATGCAACTTTCTAATTTTCACATGGGCGGTGGTTGTACTTAGAGAGAAACTTTCGGATTTTAAGAGAGATATACGATAGATATGAAACTTCAAGAAAATACTGATATGATTGTTCTTAGTATAGATGTGTACTTGCATGCCACATAATTTATGAACATGTATAAACCAATCAAATCAAATCAAATCAAATAATAATGATACAAACACCATCACACGCCATTACAATCGTTTAAAGTTTTTACAAAAATCAATAAATTAAACTACAGGGGCAACAGGATCCTTGACTGAGTAGTTATAGCGAAGCCGACACCACCAGTACCTCCCCTATGTGTGTGCGGGGGCAGCACCTAAGCAGCGGCGTGATTTTAGAGTAAAATTTCAAAGAAAGTGTTTTTCTGGAGCAAATCAGCTATCTAGCATTCAAATCATAACAGTTAAAAAGATATAATACCCATGTAATGTGAACAATATAATTTTCATTAAAATTCTTGTCTCTCAAAACATTTGTAAGAGAAACAAATTTTTGTTTGATTGTGCAAGACTATTAATTAGAATATGCGTTACAACAAAATCATTAAATTGAGCATATATATGGAATATATAGTGAGGTATATGGTATATAATAATAATAATAATAATAAAATTTGGTAGCTTAAACACAAACTCTAAGCCCAGTGGATAAACCACAAAACTTATGCTCTATTGTGTGAAACAAAGATACTAGATCAAGATAACTATCAAGGATTGTATGCATAGTTATTGAGGTATATGGTATATAGTGAGCCTGGACTGCATGTATAGTATAAATGTACCAGTCCCATGAAAATGAGAAAAACGGTGTTACAATGCAAGGGTTCTTGAAATAGAGAAAGGAAGCTTCACGCCGTTAGTTTTCTCAACGTCTGGTGGAATGGGTGGTGAAGCTGAAAGACTGGTGAAGAAGCTGGCTAGTAAGATGGAATATAACACAGGTCAAAGATATTCAGACGCTGTTGGATAAGAACAACAGTGATTTCTCTCCGGGAACACAGAGGTGCGAGAAAGAACTATGTTAATATAAATAGTTTAGATTTGAATTTGGAGTCACAAGGCCAAGGGTGATTTTCAAATGTTTCTCCCAATATTTGAGATAGGGAATATATTGATTTTATGAAGGGTCGTTTTTACATATAATATTGTGACAATTTTGTGTAAATTGTTTGAATAATTAATATTTTAAAAATAAAGAAAAAACATAACAATTATCTTTGGTTTCATCCTTGTGTGGCAAAGAATTGTTTTATATATCGTTATTCCACTGGAAAGAAAATATGAAATAGGATAATGTTTTCGATAATTTTTTAAATATATTGTATTCGATAAATTAATGTTGGTGGGGAAATATTTTTATATATTTTTTCACATAGTGCAATGTATTGATTCACGATGTCAATCCTTCCTAGCTCGGCGAGGCCCAGTGGTGCATTTCGCCGATCTACGTGGTTGCGAGAATATGCGCGGCGCGAGCCAGTAGTGCATCGCGCTACAATGCGATGTGCAATGATATTTTTAAACATGTGTGATGATGTGATGTCATAAAATTTACTTTACTTAACTTAACTTTACTTTACTTTACTTTACTTTACTTTACTTTACTTTACTTTACTTTACTTTACTTTACTTTACTTTACTTTACTTTACTTTACTTTACTTTACTTTACTTTACTTTACTTTACTTTACTTTACTTTACTTTACTTTACTTTACTTTACTTTACTTTACTTTACTTTACTTTACTTTACTTTACTTTACTTTACTTTACTTTACTTTACTTTACTTTACTTTACTTTACTTTACTTTACTTTACTTTACTTTACTTTACTTTACTTTACTTTACTTTACTTTACTTTACTTTACTTTACTTTACTTTACTTTACTTTAGCATTGTGATTGATTGACGATGTCAATCCGTCGAGATCGTTGTAGCGCGATGCGTTACTGTGCCGCGCCGCGCACTCAATGATGAATGAGGCTTCTCACAGCTAGATCAGCAAAATGCGCTACTGTGCCGCGCCGAGCTGCCATGAATTGACATCGTCAATTAATCGAGATCGTTGCTCTGCGAAGCAAGAATGCTATTTCATAGTTTGCGCGGCGCGTCGAAGCGGCGAAGTCCTCCAAGCATTGTGATTGATTGCCGATGCGAATTGATTCACAATGTTGATCCTTCGCAGCTCGGTGAGGCCCAGTGGTGCATTTCGTGTTACATGTTATAACTGGGCGGCGCTCAGCCTGTCATTCCGCCGAATCTTTATGAACATAATAGCCTGGGGTCCCCAGGTAAATTTCGTGTTTTTTGTTGCGAGAAGAATTATTTGATGCGCGGCGCGGCCCAGTAGTGCATCGCGCTACAACGATGCGAAGCTTGATACATGTTTCGTATCCAAATATCGGCGGCGCGCAATTACGGAGGGGTGAGATTTTTGATGTTCATTTTGTTATTGCAGCTGTAGCAATTGAAAGTTCCTACAATCCACAGGTCCCAATTGAAGCTCCGTCCAACATTGAGTCGGGCGCCAAATGTTACAGCCATTATAAGTGTAAGTTCTGTCGATCATACCTATCAGTGTATATTTAATGATGAACTTGCAACGTGAAGTACAGCTCTTCTGCTTTCGTACCTGATACAATGCCCCTGCTTAATCTTTCTGTTCCCTCTCCAGCTCAGCACACAGCCAAGTTACTGATAGGAATTGCGCCCAGTGGGGCAATCACGTACGTCAGCCGCTGCTATCCTGGTGGCACAACCGATAAGGAGATTGTAGTGGACAGTGCTAAACTGCAGAAGCTGAGTGTTGGTGACAACGTGATGGCTGACAAGGGGTTCCTCATTCACGACATTTTACACGAAGGATCGGTGTCACGTGACATAACACCTCTATTACAAGTGGTCGCTCGTTGAGGATCACGGAGCACATCAGGGCTGCCCGTCGTCAGAATAAACTTAATTCAGTTGTTAGTATGATTGTTATATTGTGGTGTTCGTAACCTACCTTCATTGTGTTTCTTTTGACTTTGTTATCATGCTGTGCTCTGGAAATTGTGATAGTAACTGTTCGATTTATTAAGGGGGCAGGGGGGGGGGGGGGGGGTCTTTATGAAATTTCTCTCGAAATTGATTTTATAGTTGTTTCTGATAGAGGGGAGTGATATCTACCAGATGTTTTTGGTCCCATGGAAAAATTTCGTTCCTAGCCGAAATTATTGCCGGTCAAAGGTCAGCGCTCATGTGTAATTGTATTGCGCGAGCGATTTTCAATCGCGCGCCCTGAAAATCGAGTCTAAAAATCTATCTTCTCCTACATTTTTTGAGCAATCACCTTGAAACTTTCAGGATATGTTCTAACGACCATTTAGAAACTTCTGGTCTCTCAGAATTTTAAGATATGCCTTAGAAAAGTTTTTATTCGATTTTGAAAATCTTGGACCTCGTTTTTTGACGATTTTTTCAGAAGTTTCTAAATGGTCCTAAGAACATATCCTGAAAGTTTCAAGGTGATTGCTCAAAAAATGTAGGAGAAGATAGATTTTTAGACTCGATTTTCAGGGCGCGCGATTGAAAATTGCTCGCGCAATACAATTACACATGAGCGCTGACCTTTGACCGGCAATAATTTTGGCTAGGAACAAAATTTTTCCATGGGACCAAAAATATCTGGTAGATATCACTCCCCTCTATCAGAAACAACTATAAAATCAATTTCGAGAGAAATTTCATAAAGACCCCCCCTGCCCCCTTAAGGAGACTTAAAGAACATCTCCTTGTTCATATGTTGCAGGATCAGAATGTTCGTGAGGAACAGTCACAAAAAGTGAGTTGCTTACCTGCTGTGTGTTTTCGTCGCGTACTCTGGTCTTCACTCAAGTTGCAAAGCTGCAATAAACGTATCGCAAAGAACATTTATATCTGAAAATTGTGTTAGTACCAGTTTGATCAGTTAGGGTGAGGATTGCCTCGATCTGTCGGGTTCAGCTTAACTGCCTAGGTCATGAGTAGAACCGAAGGATCAAAACATATGTTGCTTGTTGCTCGTATCAACTATGAAACATCAATTTTGAGGAATAAGGAAGTGTTTATAGGTTCTAAAACCTAGCTAAATCGATTTTTCGTTCAATTTTAGGTCAGAAACAGTCATCAAAATGAGTTAATAAGAAGGTCGATTTCTCGGTTATTTTTGAGCTTTCGTTCAGAAAATAATTTGGGGCCTTCAAAGGGGGGTAACAAGAAGGCGTTACAAGTGTTACAAGCGTTCCATAATACAAAATGTGTATCACCTCTTCAACCCGCCTAACAGGGGCTTACCCTAAAAATGTAAACAAATGTGTATCACCTCTTTAACCCGCCTAACAGGGGCTTACTATTAAAGTAAACAAATTTGTTTCACCTCCCCACCAGTATCCACATCGATTATACACTGATATTTTATTGGCATATTTTACAGAAGAGGCCGCTCAGCATCTGTTGGAGGAGATGAGGACGGAGAAAGAGAAGGAAAAGAAGAAGAAAGAGAACTATCCTGTAATAAGGCTACTTGCCAGAAATTTGGTGGACCTGGTCTATAATATGACAGAGGCAGGTTTTTATCAAACTTTTAAATTCCTATTACCTACAATCAGCACGTTTATAACCAAAACTATCATCACACCTATGAACTACTCCACATCAGACATCTATGAACGTGCGCCGTGCAGTGTTTGATTTAGTAACTTTACAAATTCAATTAAATATACATAACATTTGTTCATAATTACAGGACAAAGTACCATAGTTTTTTATTTAACTTACAATTCAGATCCGCTAAAAAGAAATTCCCTATTGCTGTCAATTATTTTGGAGCACGCTGGAGAAGCACAGCTTCCAAGCACAATCTCGGTACCTTCGTGAACATGTCGAATTTTCAAATGTCATGTATTTTAGATTTGAATTTGTCTTTATTGCTATTTAAATTAAACTTATAAAACCCAGGGAAAGGATGCAGAACGAGGCAGAGGAGTCCCAAGCATCAACATCCCAGCTGTCTGACACAGCAATTCACCAACAAACAATTGACAAACTTGTTGAGGAGACGGCAGAACTGTTCAGGACAAGGGACAAGCAGAATTCGAACATCCAACAACTCAAAGGTAATTACGCTGTAAGTCACTCGATTGATGATTTGTCTGTCAAAGCATAACACATCGTAAATTAACCCAAACGGCCAAAAGTAATTTACAGGTGACACTTTTTAATAACACTTTGATTCGGGCTTCAGATGAGCTGTCGGTTTTAAGATCTCAGCTTCTCTCCTCGAATACTGATTTGTCTTCAAGCACAACAACACCGCACCCGTAAGTTTTATTTAAATTTGATTTAATTCTGAGCAATATTTTAGGTTTTTTCAGTTTTTATCGCATGAAACATTATACATCATGATTAATGTATAATGTGTTAATTGCTATGATGATTTATTTGCATTATTTTAAGCATGCTGCAAAGTGCAGAGGCTAAAACGCATCAATCTTCTTCAATCTCGATCTATCTATGTCATGCGTTATGTATAAAATGTTGGATGTGATTATATATCTTAAAGATTACACTGTACAGTGTAATCTTAAATCTGCAGACTGCATTCAAATACATGTGATTCTATACCTTCTAAGCCTTAATCATATCTAGTTAATCCTAATTTCATCAAGTTTCACTATTTTTTGTT